ACTGAGTGTCCTACAACACGTTCGCGATGCGATGGCTGAAAGCCAAGACCTGCAGAAACAGTATGCAGATGAAATAGGAGGAGGCAAAGTGGAAAGCTTCTAGGTCGGGGACCTCGTTTTATTAAATTCAAAAACCTGCCTTCACATGCAGCCTCTGCTATCTTCAGGACGAATCTTTGTCCACGGTTCATCAAACCGTTTAAGGTTGTGGCCAAGCGGTGCCTAGCATATACGCTGAACCTTTCGAAACGGACGCGCACCCACCCGGTGTTTTACGTGGGCTTGCTCAAGCCGTACCGGGATCCGGCGCAGGTGAACGCGGAAGCGTTGGCGCCGGAGCGGGTCCCACCGGCCCTCGCCACCCAGAAGTTAAACCAGCAACTGGTTCTGAGCACGGAGTGCGACAACCTCCATTTCCAATGGAGCCAAGCGCTCCAACTTGCCTTCAGCGATGCATTCGCCTGCTCCATGGCTAGAAGTCGCTCCGATAGAGCGCGGTAATCCTCAAGGTGAGGCAGCCGGCACACGACGAGCTTTAAATCGTCAAGAGCGTCCGCACAGCGATATGCTACTTCAGCATGACGTTCAGCAGAGCTCCGATCACGAAGGACCTCGTTTTCAAGGGCTCGAAGAGCATCACGAGTCACCGGACGGCGGTCGACCCGGTCGTCACCGCCCGCCAATGACTCTTCTCGATGAGAACGGTGACGTCCACCATCACGTGGAACGTCTAGTAAGACGATGTCGTCACCAGGGCCAAACCCAGTATCTGGTAAAGTGGCTGGGTTATCCCGACGTTCAGGGAGTTTGAGGTACCACTTCGGCAAGATTGCCCAGTCCCCGTGGACGCTTTTGATCGGAAAGATCAGAACATCCTTTGTCATCAGACGCCCCGCGCTTCCCGGTAATAGGTAGGAAAGTAGAAGGGCCATGACCCGAGCTCATGAAGTGGCCCTGAGCTCTTGCGATCGAAGACACAGAGCTCGCGGGAGCTTTAGGGGTCAACCCATACGTTGCAGGGCGACAATCCGAAGGAAGTCGACGGGGTGCCTTGAGTTTGG